TTTGTCTCGCTGTACAAGCCGGCTGCGGTTGAGTTGGCTCGTCGTCGCCTGCCAGGCTCTCAGTGTATGGCGCCGTATTGCCACCATCTTCGGCGTGTCGTCTTTTCCAGACTGATGAAGCTGACGGAATCGTTGAAGACACCAGCTAACAAACGCGATCAGCTGCGCTGCAAGAGATGTCAGCTGATTGACTGTCGTGCTAGTGGCTTCGTGCACACCAAAAGATTCGACCTCGCCATTCTTTTCCATGTACACCATGCAGTAATGGCACAATAAGCCGAAGAACCCGTAAGTATACGTGTCCGAGATCGATACCTTTGTTCCGTCTCGCCTGGGATAACCGATAGTCAGCGATCGAATAGAGAAACTACAAAGCGAATGGAGGTAACAAACACGATAGTGCCTAAGATCCCCGTGATTATGTGGCTGTGGAACATGTTACTATGGTTCCCTGTGCACAACTGGCGGCGAGCGGCGGCGAGACTGAGCGGTACGAGCGAAAGCTCGGGTGAAGTCTCGAGCAGGGTTGCGTCATCATCTACATTAGATGGTCGCAGCGTCAGAGTCGTCGTGGCCGAGAATAGACTGTGATCGATGATGTTCTCGTCTTTGAGATCTCGTACTATGGCTCCTGTGATGTGGTCGAGACTGGTGCATCCATTGGAAACTGAGCGAAAGAATGCGGCCCATGGCTGGGTGTTCACCCACTCCACCATCGTCGGCAAGTATGCGAGGGCTCGACTCCGTAACTCTTGTTTGGGGCTGTGTATCCATATAAGGAGTAATACATGGGGTACCCGGGAGTTCGCCTCATTAACGATGACGCGTCTGCAAAACACTAATGTCAATACAGTGTCTCTTGACGGGGAACTTGAGACACACCTATGCTTTTTAAGCAGATCCGTTATTGCCACAGCCAATGCCTCTAAGAATCCATGGAGATTAGCAGCCATAGAATGCGAGTCCATACAGGCAGGCTCGGAGACCAAGAACGGCGTCTTGATGTCCCAAAGTTTGCCATAAAGCTTAAGGATGTCGTTCTGAATGATGTCGAGCACCCTGCTGAATTCGGGCTCGCTAGGGCGTCGAGGGCCGTTCATCCGGCGGAGAGATGTCACGAGTAATCTCAGCATGAGGTTGATTAAGGTCTGGCACATGTGTAGGGGTTTGTGACTGATCATGCATGTTTGATATAGGATAACCTACCGCCGTTACCACTTCCTGAGCTTCCTCAGACGTAAGGTATGCTGAAGTGAGACCACAGACGTAATCATTGGCGATCAGTTTTCCTAGAACAGACACGAACTCGGCTTCCCAGGCCACGAGCCAGGTAGCATCGTCTGCCGCCTCGACGACTTGATCCAAGGCGCCAAGCATGCACAGTGCTACAGGACTTTTGCGGTCCTCCATAGCGTATATCTCACGAAGAAGCTGTGTCCAAGAACCAGGAATTGCGAGCAGAGGTTTTACGGCAGAGAACGGATATTCCAGCCCCCCGTTCGGGGGCGGGCCAATTCTTTTGAGAACTTCGGAAACCAGCATCGATTCAAGAGCAGCTCAAGGGAGGTTCCTGAGCCACCTGGTCTTCAGGGGGATTGGAGGACAAAGTACGGTAGACGAGCGAGAGGTTCGTTTTCAACTTGCCACGTTCTAATGTGCATGAGCTTGGCGAGGGCATACTCGCAAACGCCTGCAATGCGAACCTAGGTCTGTCTTCCTCAAAAATCGGATCGTACCATTGATGACATACGTGAAGGCATGAATAGGGATTGAAGAAAGAGGCAGTGCCGTGCAAGCAGCCCTCCCAAAAGCGAAGTGAGAGGCAAGTCTGATAAGCGCCTGTAACCTGCCATGCCCCAGCCGCCAAGCCAGCGGCCGAAGTCAACAAAATGTGTTTACTCCGGCGTGCGTCATTCTCTTCCAGCCTAGAAATGTACCAGATGGGAGCTAGGAATATCGTGCATGGTCTCGAGGTGACAGTCAAGATGTCTTAGCCTGGAGGCTTGCTGCTGCACGATAGTACGCGACAATCACGATCATTACAAGTTAAAAGTACATCGGTTAAACACGACTTCTACTCGGTATCGAACACCAGGCATCGGACCTCGATACTCTCCCGGTGGGGCGCGTCCTTCGGACTCGTCTCGTCCAAGAACGCAGCGTGCGGAGTGAACCGCGCACGGTCCACCTCTGAGTCATAACACTTGATGAGGGTGACCTCGTCCGGGGTCTGACTCGAGAGGTAGTACCATTTGTGGTTCGGGTTGTGGCGGACGGAGTAAATGCCTGCACCACGTTGGAGACTTGTGAGCGAGAGCAAGAGGCTGCACATACAGGAACACGTACTTCCGACACGGTCAGGGTGAATGAATTGGACGGGAACAAGATCGTGTTCTTTATCGACCGTGCGCCAGTCCGACACAGCGAGCGGCCTGTGAGCCACAGGATTGTGGATGGGGCGCCAGACATTGATAATACGGACGCGTCCCTTCAGGAGGCGTTCGGCCTCATCACCGAGATGACGATGGACGCGCTCGACGGCCGCATCATAAGTTTGGTCGACATGGACTGCTGACTGTAGATTGCTTGAGCATGCGCACCAGTTCACGCGGCAGAGGTTGACTTACGGCTGCTCCACGGATGACCTTGCCCGTCGGACTCACGAAGTCCGGCTCAGTACGGCGGATGGTGTGGTCGAAGACGAGGACCCTCTTCGCGCCAGTCTCCTTCTTCAGCAACTCCTCTACCTCCCTGTAGTACGCGGTTTGAATCCTCTCCTCGTCCTCGAAGTCCCTGTCTTGGCTCACGTGCTTGACGAACTGGAAGCCGGACGTGTCGAGAGAGAGGTCGTACTCTTTCTCCTTGTCGCGAGCGTCGCGAATGACGACATCATACGGCTCGTGGCCGGTATTGTTCTTCTTCTTACCAGGCGGTGGGTCTTGCATATAAATACGAGGCGACTCGTCGGTTTCCGGGTCGGGGATGTAGTAGTTCAGAGAGGTTGGGACATCGTGGGGAGCGAGTACTGCAACAGACATCGTGAGGTTGGTCGGGGAAGTACACTGGCTCGAGCTGTCGATATGAGTGGTAGACTATGGTGCGTTAGGGCTTGGGAGCTATGAGCAGTTAGGCACTCTTAAGTACGTCTTGTCCCTTAGCCGACCCCTTGCGTCAGTCAGCAGAGTCTGCTCTATAAGCCGTCGCAACATGAGCTGTCTTCTCATACACCAAGTACCATGCCGCCAGCTCATCGAAATAATGCTCAATCGTATAGCATAATACCGTGTCGCGATGAGGCAAACGCCAGCCACGGGCACATGGGTCAGCGCACAGTCATGTCCGAGTAAGTAGAAGCCGAACCCGCTGCTTCTCGCCAACAATGCCACAATACGTCTGGAAGGAGTTTATGTGTGTTTTCGAAGGGCTTGACTAATCCTCGAGCTCTCGCAGCAGCCGACTCCGGCTCCATGCGCGGCTTTCAGTCCACAGCGAGCACGGGCGCCTTCGACCACCGCGCTCCCGGCCTCTGAGGGCGAACGTGAGCGACAATTGGCCTTAGGCGTCTTGCCGTTGCTCAGGCTGATTCTCTACGCTTCCGGCAATGCTTCCGATGCCCGCCTTTCTCCCAGCCGCTGAAACACGACACAGTTAGATTCAATAACGTGCTGAGGACAGCACGTCATAGCACGTACTTCTTTTGGCACTCGGCGCCGCAGTATGCGATGAGCCAGCAGCCCTTGCATATCCTCATCTTGTGCGCAGGTTTATGGACGCTGCACAGGCATTCACTCCATCCGCACCGCTGAAGCACACGGAACACCGCCTCGTTCGCCTCCGGCACCGGTGGGATGAGAGCTCCTACTTTTTGCCACAGGGGCAAGAAGTGCTTCCAGCCGCCCTCTTGCTGTGCAAGCCCGCTGCGGTTGAGTCGTTCCGTCGTCGCCTGCCAGGCTTTGAGCGTGTGACGCCGTATTGCCACTGCCTTGAGATTGCGGAATTCCAGCTTGAGATCCTTAAGCCGTGGAAGACACCAGTCGATGAGGTAAACTAATTGTTCTACGAGAGAGGTTAGCTGGATGATCGCTGTGCTGGTAGTTCCGTACGTACTGAGCCTTTCGAACCCGTGTTCATCGCCTTCAAGTTCTATGTGGACCATGCAGCAATGGCTTAGCAAGCCGAGGAATCCATATATGTGCGAGTCAGACATGGGTTGTATTGTTGCATCGCGCCTAGGACAACCGGAAGTCAGCGACCTGATAGGAAGACAACATGACAAGCGACGGCGACAGACGTTGTAAAGCCCAGCATTGTGATAATGACGTTGATGTGGTACACATCGTTATGGTCTCCCAAGCACACCTGGCGGCGAGCGGCAGCTAGACTGTGTAGCACGAGCTGCAGTTCGGACGAGGTCTCGAGCGGGGACTTGTCATTGTCTGGAGGTCGTGACATCAAAATCGATGCGACAGAGAATAGGTTGTGACCGGTAACGGCTCGATCCTTCAAATCTCGTAGCATAGCCCTATGCACATGGTCGCGACTGGTGCATCCACGGGAAATCGAGCGAAAGAATGCAGCCCACGACTGGGTGTCCGGTTCCATTATCATCGGTGAGCGCGAGAGGGCTTGACTTCGTATCCTTTGTTCTGAGTTGTGTATCCATATGAGGAGCAATACATGGGGTATTCGAGAGTTCGTGTGATTGACAGTGACGCGTCTGTGAAAGCGAGTGTCGGCAAGGATGCTTTTCAACAAGGAGACAAGACGCACCTATACTCTTCGAGTAATTTGCTTGTTGCACCAGCCATCTTGTACAGGTGCTCATGAAATGAATATTTGGCAAGGTCTGAGGTCTTGCAGGCGACTTTGGAGACCAAGAAAGGCGACCTAATGTCCCAAAGTTTGCTGTAGATCTTAAGAATTCTACTTTGAAGAACATCAAGCACCCTTTTGAATTCGGGATCGTCGGGGCGTGGAAAGTCGATCATTCGGTTGAGACCAAACAAGAATAGTGTCAGCGTGAGGATGATTAGGTCCTGGTATACGGGCAAAGATCTAGCTGGGTGTGCGCGTTTGATTCAGACAACTTACTACTGTTGTCGCCTGCTGGCCTTCTACGGATGCAAGACATTCTGGAGTGAAACCACAGAGGCATCCGTCGGTAATGAGACCTCCCAAGGCGGAAACGAATCCAGATTTCCAAACAATGTTCCAGGTGGTATCGTCTGCTGCCCTGACGAGTTGAACCATGGCACCCAGCAAGTGCACCTTTAGAGCACGTCCGGCGCCATCAAGAGTGTAAATCTCGCGAATGATCTTTGTCCAAGTGTTGGGTACCGCGAAGAGAGGTTGTAAGGCACGGAGTGAGTACCGTAGCTCACCGTCTGGAGGAGGGCCTATCGCTTGTAAAATATCGACGAGCAGCATCGTTTCGAAGACAGCCCAACATTCAACATTCAATATTCATAGATAGCTCTTGATTCATGTATTCGGAGGAGTGGAAAGAGGGATGTATGGGACAAGAACGAGGAGGTCTGTTCCAGGTCGCCGCCTGGCGGACACGCGCCGGGTTATGTAAGCATACTTGGAAAAGCCCCAAGCGCCCCGAAGTGCGTGACAAAGCTGCTTGGCATAAGCAGTCCGAGTAGCTATCGCCACTCAGCATGACGATTCTCTCTGGTATATTCATAGGAATAATCATGCAAACAAATTTTGAAAATATATATTTTATGAAAATTTTAGATGAGAGAAATGTGTGGCTGAGGACGTGCTTCCCGTGCCGGCGCCATTTTCTCGGTTGCACTACGAGGCCCAAGAGACTTTGGCCAAAGAATTTACTGAACAGCATACGCATTATTTATATATGCAGAATATTAGATTTTGAAGCATTCGAAGACCGAAAATACAAGAGGCTAAGAAGAATATCTCGGCTACCTGAGCCAGTTCGCCGAGTCTCCCGGGCGCTATCAAAGGGAGACGGTTCCTTGATGTCAGGCCTCTTTTCTTTCCTCTTCGTCTACTGACAAGCCTTTTTAAAAGTGATATATACTCTCTAATACTTTGCTATATTGCTGTTTGTCTCGTTTTTACTTTTATTTTTACGGCGCGTCTGTCGTCCCTCGTTCTCTGCGGAGTGGCTGCGTTTCGCGTCTAGGCGCCACAAAGCCCTCGGAATGATCCGGTCAATGCTTATGGCAGCGGGGACCGCGTGTTGGTTGTCTGAATTCGCCACCCATCTCACCGCCAATATTTTCTGGAATTTATCTCGATTTCATAATGCGAGCATACTCTTCGTTGGCGTTGTATTACGTACTCTTACATGAGTCCTGCCGCTCGACAGTGCCAGCATTTGATCCATCCAGACAGCGGGAATCGTTCCGAGCGCCAAGAAGTTGAGCACGGTTCACAACATCCCGGCGGCAAGTCACGCGTTGCGGACGTCTCCGGAAGATATTTATCATCTAGTAAGTGGTCAGACTTTTTATCTTGTTCATTCCTCGCTGTAGAATATTGACGTCGATTTTGCGCCAGGCCGTAGTGCCTTACCCTCTACATCGCGAGGCTGTGTCGAGCTGTAATTGCTCATCAGCCGGTTGGCAACGTGAGTGCCATCTTAAGATAACGCTGTACATGCTCCTAAAAAGCTTGCAGATGTCATTGGCTTTGGACGGACGAGCAGGTCTCGCCGCTAGTAGTTCAAACGGGCAGTGTGACGGTGATGGTGCACGAACAGCAGATGAGTACAGGGAATATTCGGTGAGCCGTCGGCGTTCTCATCGAAGTCTTTGAGGTGCCTAATTTTTGACCTTCCAGGAGAGCTTGCCGCTACACATTCACCTTTGGAATGCTCTTGATGACGACAAGCACCGACGGCAGGTCGAAGGCGGCCATGCAAATCTCCTCAAGCTCCGCGATGCGCTGCGCGCCATATTATACCCGAAGCCACTGAACTTCCCGAACGAGAAACTTGAGAGGCAGCGCGACCATGTCAGACAGCTCACGGACCAGTTCATCGACGCTGTTATAAGGCCGAGTACATTCTCGAAGTATGTGTCGCTCCACTCTGACTTCGCCTCAGACTCTGCGCTGATTAAATGGGCAGCGTGACTAGAGGAAAGTCACGATACAAACCGGAAGCATCACAAGCAGCTCGACTCGAAGAGGAAGCCGCCGTCGACGATGACGCTCCGCAGAAATATATAACCAGTCTGATGATCAACATTTTCGTGTCGCTCGGGAGCTTGGCAATGCTGTCATGGCTAGAAGGCTTCGTTGACTCCGCACATGAACGAGTTCTACAGCCTCTAGTTAATCGCTGGTTCACGGCGAACGCTCTCGCCCAGGCTGATTTTCACGACGCGGAGCTGCCAATATTTCGTTCGTTCCTGCGAGATCTACCTAATGCATCGGGGGAGAGTCTCAGGCTCGTTGCAGACTCTCTTTCGGGATTTCTGCGCTGCTGTCCAGAGTTTCGCGGACCCCCGTTCACGGAAGACATCGTGTTGCTTCGTCTCCACAGCATGGCCAAACTGGAAATCGAGATCGAGAACAAGGACTGGCCAACCATCGCCGCACTGGTGAGATGTATTAGGTGAGTGTCATGTGCGTTTCATCAGAGGTCAACTTGCGCTTATGTACACAGGCTTTTGATCGAACGAAGAATTGAGCTTCTGGAGAACGCGGATATAATGGGATCCTCTCTCTACGCCATAATGCTGGAGGCCGTACGACGCCGGGATGGTGGGACAATTGGTCAGTGACATGGAGTTTCAACAGGTCTCCGAGCTAATTTTGGGATGTCTTCGCAACGGCAGACGCCTGCTATCATGTCCTCGCTCTCGAGGGTGTTACACTCGCGAGAATGTACAAGCCGGAGCAAATACGCAGCATCCTTGGCGCAACTTCCGAGGAAGTGCTTGAAAAAGCAAAGGCGGCTTTGCACGAGTCTTATGGACAAACTGATGTCCGCAGACATGCCATCGAGCGCTGTCTGCAACTGGCTTTGCAGGTATATTCACACTCCTCAGGCGGCAAAGAACAAGACCAGGAATACAACCCACTTCCGTTGTCCGCACCAGATGGCTTCACCTTTCGTATACCATTTGCGCCTTCCTCTCCCTAACACTGTAGCTGCAGTCTTCGTTCTTCCGAGGAACCAGCGTATGTTGATCGGGTCACCATGCTGTTCTTACTCTTGTAATCGTTAAATACAGTAAATATCAGTTTGCTATGAGCTGATGATAAGGACCAGGGATTTCAGCTGAAATGTGGGCTTTGCATGTCAGGGGTACATCGTAGTTAAATTATGTATCCTATTCTTGTCGCCGCAGTCTCCATGTAATAGTGAACCTATACATGCATGTCAACTACAACCTTCTCGCCGCTAACCTTGTTATTCCTAAACAGATCCAGCCCTGCGTTCACCCTCTCTAACAAACTGCCCTCCCTTATCAGCCGCACAGGGTTTGCACGAATCATTCCCCTCTCCAGGAGACGCGGAAGTATCACAGACAATATGTTCTCGCGAGAGAATGCGTCTTCGCCGACCCGGAAGGTTGCAATCGGAATGACCTCGACGTTCTTGCCTGAGAATACTTCTTCGAGCCAAGGCGGGGCAGTCAGGTGTATCGCGCTATCAGGCTCGTTCGTGACCGCGTCGCCGTCCTTGAAGGGTAAGAGAACGGCCAGGCGCGCACGGGGCAGCGTAGCAGGCGATGCGAGCACCTCGCTCAGGAGCGACAGGCTCCGGCGGGTAGCGATGGGATCCAAGGCGACCGAGAGACGGCCGTGCGTAGTGCTAGCCACAGCCGAGCGGATCTGAGACTCGACGTCGGGGGAACGGTAGTCGAAGCACTGTGTTGCGCCGAGCGAGCGGAGGAACTCGTGGTGGTGACCGGATGCGACTGCGAAGATGTCAGTGAAGCCGGCGATACGCAAAGCTTGGACGAAAAATTGGCCGGAGGAGGAACCTGCGCCGTAGACGAGCACAGGTGCGGAGAGGTCTATAGCAGGCCGGTTAGGCACAGCAGACGGAGATACGAGGAAGGAGGGGACGGGAAGCGCTAGCCCTGGACCACCGAAGACGGCATACATAGCAGTGATGTAATTGTCAGGGATGGATGCCGCTTCGTGCAGGGGAACTGATTCGGGGACCTGGAAGCTGTCGCGTCAGCGCGTCAGAGAGCAAACTTGGTTGGGCTACCTTTGCTACGAAGAACCTCGGCACAACAGTATACTCTTGAGCGGCCTTGTTCTTGCTCTCGGGTATGTTGTACGTCGCAACCTGAGCGTTTTGTTTTCAGTCTCAATAATATCATATTCACGAAGTTCATCCACAGGTACGTACTCGATCGCCCTCTTTGAGGTCTTTCACGTTTGCGCCGACCGCCTTCACGAAGCCTGCACTTGCAAAGCCAATGACACGAGGGAAGTCATGCGCAGAAAGCGCATAACCCTTGTCCAACTGATACCCATCAGTTGACTTGACTACAGCGTAGTGAACATGCACAAGGACTTCATCAGGTCCCGGTGAGGGGGTCGGAAGATATATAATCTCCAGAGTTCCAACGGTGGTAATAGCGACTGCCCGATGAGTGGCCATGTGTTCCAGCGACGTTCGAGGGTGAATGTGTTACAACGTACCATTGACTGGTTTTTGCTGATATATATATGAGCAGGAATACTAACTGCGAGTAGTGTTTAATAATGGACGGATTGTGTCAGCACATAAGAGTGAGCTGCGAGTGACTAATGCCGATTGCGCGGTGCTCCCATATTATTATCTGTCGACAGCGAAATGAACGGAGATCAGATGTGTTAGTAGCGCTACAGAGGAACAAGCTTCAAGCTTTCCAGTATTGAGTCGAGAGGCAGCTACAGAAGGCTAGGGATCCTCCTTCACCTATCTCAACAACAGACCACACGGCCAGACTTAGCCACCGCATTACGGCCTATTACATAAGGCCTGTCCGCAACGACCGCATCACAGAGACGGCTGACGCGCCCTTTCGGTTTCGGTTCCGCGATACAATCGGGATCTGCATCATCCCAGCCCGCCCTCCACACAGCCTCATCGTTCGAGCCTCGGTACACCTGCATATTGTACTCAATCGTCGTTTCAGCATTGGCTGAGTACGCTGCCACGATGCCACGCATTGCCTTACAAAGGTTTGGCCGAAGGGCCGGAGGTTGCGCATCAATGCGTTATGATGGCTGTTCACGAGCGTGATCGAACTCCGAAATGCGAGATGCGGCTGAATTAATCCTTTGGCGGTGGGGTCTGCAGCCAATCAGTTCGCGCAGTGACACGGGCAGCCAAGCCCTACAGCGGATGAGCCACTTCCGGCAAGTCCACACGTCCAAGAGGTATATAAAGACCAGCAAGGCCTTCCAGAGCCTGCAGTCAGCGAACACAGACCGCATCTCTTCCACAGCTTCCTGCAATCTCACCATCGACAATGAAGTTCCTTGCTCTCGCCGCGTCAGCCCTTACCCTTGCGGGTGCCGCTGTTGCTCAGGAGGCTGTACGATTTGGAATCGTTTCCGTCAGCCCATCCACGATCAAGCCTGGAGAGGTAATTCACCATGCTCCCAATACGTCCGCTTATGTGCTGATTGCGCCATTTGCCAGACGTTTACTGTTCACTATAACTCGACGCTTGCGGCGCATCAACCCGTCTACTACGACGCCTACATTCAAGGCATCTTGTCAAGTGGATTCGTTCAGCCTCAGTATCTCCTCCAGAGGACTACATTCCCGACCGATGGCACAAAGAACATCTATTTCAACACTACTGTTAGTATCGCTGTTATTTTATTTGTCCTGTCTCCTGACGAACCTCTACAGCTTCCAAATATCGGGTACGTGAATAACGCCTCTTACTCGGTCTGGGCGTACATCACGTACCCAGTACAGGACGAGAGCGGTACGTCCGCTCTGGAGTACGGCGGTGTCTCCTATCCCGTCGGGATAGATATGTCCTAATTCGACGTACGAGCTCTTCGGATCCTCATATCGGACATTTGGGCATGTATGATACGCTGCCGAGCATAATATTTGTTTAGTCGTAACCCCCAAGTGAGAGGATTGTCACTGGGTGTCACTCATGTGAGCGTTATGACACCAGCCGGAGCCAGGTGGCGCTGATCCGCGTCAGAGCGTCCGGTCCTCGAGAAAAGTTTAAACCGGGGGGTGGGGGGCTGCATGTCGGCGAGTCGACCCGCAGACTTGCTCGTTGAGTATGAATCGCGTACATACCGCAAAGTGGAGCATTTCACAGAGGTTTCTAACCGGTGAACCTACATTGTAAGCGCAAACGGGCGAAAATATAATTAACACCGCGCATCGCGTTTATTAAAGCGAGATGGGTATTGATAAGTAGATTACAATGGCGGCAACGGCCGCCTACACTGTGGACAAATATTCTAGAGGTAATTTCAGTTTCGATCGAAGACTTCACGCATCGAAAGAGACGCACCTTGATAGCGAGCCACTGGCAGTCATGATATGATAATGTTAGTTTAAGGTCGGGTTCAGGAATACCAGACTCACCCTCTCAAGGCACGCTGTATGCTGCAGGGATGTGAATCAGGAATTAATCCGCCAGGCCAGACAGAGTGACGTACGAATAGATGATGACAGGGTGCGAGACTGTAGCTCTTCCTTGCGCCCTGGGCAAGCAGATTTCCCGTCCTCCGTGACAGACTGTGTACCTCACCCTTCTCGTCGCTGTGCTGGCGCAGCGCTGGGTCGACGGTAATCGCATCCATGCAGATAGCGCAATCCCCGAGAGACTGCTCCGGCGCCTCAGGGTCCGGAAGCGGCATCGGTGGGTGGTAGTCATAGGTTTCGATGCTCACCATCTGCAATGCAGTCGCAATGGTGAGCAGGAACTGGATAATAGAGGAGAAATGAACGTACTCCACGCGGTAAGAAAAATGTGGGGCCGAAATGGCTCTGCAGAAGGATGAGGAAGACTTGGAGGAACATACATAACGCCATTCCATATACCCATCCTGTGCAAGTGTTTAGCGCCAAGGAAAGATTGCGTTAGGTGACTGGACTCACGTCTAGGTTCGACATCTAAAACGTTCTTGGGACATGCCAAAAAGTCTAAAGGCATATTAGATCACAAATAGCCTGAAGGTACGAAGACAACTCACAAAGAAGGTAGTACAGACGACAGGCGGTTACTCCAACGAGATACTCCCCCGCCATGCCACTCACTCTTTCTCGACGAACAGTACGATAGATCTGCACGAGCCACATAGAGCTGTAGAGTAGGCCAATGAAGAGCAGCGGCACTGAAAGTGCAATAACAAGACGGAATACGACAAGCAGGAAGAACGAGATGATGAACCCTAGAACACCGGAGTGTCAGCATAACTCGCTACCGACAACGAAGTGTACGTACACATCCTGGCTGACGGGTCGTTACGAATGTGGTCAAACATATAACGAAGTAGGCTCGGTCTCGGTGGCGTCGTCGTGATTGTAGGCAAGACAGGCTGAGCATTCGGTGCAGGAGCTGCTCTTGGTGCAGGGTTCGTCGTAGGTGGCGCAGCGGCTGGTTGACTAGGAGGTCTTGCTGTCGGCCGTACGTCTTCAGGCGCTTGAATCTGACCAATAATGATAGCAAATTGCTATAAAACGAGTTAGCTGGTGACTTCAATAGGCAATCAGTATACGTACAGCTTCCTGAATGAACAGAACACAGGCCAAGCCTGCGGGTGCAAGCACGGCGATCGATGTTCGACCTTCGGCGAGAATAGCAAGAGTGACATGCTTCACGGGGTCAACACCTATGCACCAACGGATAATTGCACGCTCACCCCAACGAATGAAACAGCGTCAATGAGACTCTGGACAATGAATGGATACCGCGAGACACGGGAAAGACCAGCAGCCGAACGACTTCGGGTTACTTGTCGGGTATGGAGTGCGAGGAGAAGCAGATTCATGATAGTTGCCACTCCCGCATCTGCATGACGATGTCAGGGTGTGTGAAAGAAGAGAAGTACAGATCATGACATACACGACGTGATCTTCCTGAATAGAGTCTGGGACCTTTCTGAAGTTAGCATCGCTCTGGGCTGGGAACACGCTTGACTGACTTCATGCCCGAGATATCTGGGAGCTCATATATCATAGCACAGTTCTTGCTCACTAGAACGCCTTGCAGCTTCATATCTGGAGCATGTATAGTAGAGATCCCCGTTGGCTCATGTATTTCGTCTTCAACTTGCTGGAGCAGAGCCTGGGGAACATCACTCTGGTTAATTTGCCCAAAGAACTGGAATAAGCAGCCGGTCTTGGGGCCCTCGTCTAAAGCCGACAGTGAGCTTAGAGACCAGTAGTACAATCCGACAGGCTCACCCTCGGAGCTCTCTTCTATCACCCCCGCCTGTACTCTTTCCTTAAGCTTCTTTGTCCTCGAGATCAACTCAGCTTCAACAACACGAGCGGTTTCTTTAAGGCGGTCGGACGGAACTAGCATTGGGATGTCACGAATATCTATGGCATGCCTTGTAGACCTTGATTAGACCATGACACGCGACAACGACTGTGAAATCCGCACCTACCCGCTTGGCTCGGCAAATGCGTATATAGTGCCATTCGATACAAAGTGCACGCCATCGACTTCGAGCCTCAACTCTTCCGAGCCCTCTGAATCCATGAAGTCGATCTTGCCCTGAACACAGCAGTCATGAGTTGGGCCATATGGTCGTGTGCTCAGTGGGTGGCTCACATGTATCATGGCAATATCTCTCGTCACGTCCTTGTTCTCGCTCTCGTTCCACACAAGCTTGTCTCCCAAACTGATCTGGACTTTGTCTGAGCGTGTCCAATTCCACGACCCAACTCTGCTCGCGAACTCAGTTGCGTTCGTGAGATTTGCGCTCGCGACAAGTTCATCTGCGAGCTGATACCATGGCGACGGTGGTACAGACGCATTGTTCTTCAGGTCTGTGAGGTTATGGAATCGGACATCGCCACGCCAGAAGCCGGTCAGGTTTCTGTAGTACGACGCCGACTGCGGATCGACCTGGCTCCCGAACGTCATGAGGCTTTCCACGAGAGTGGTAACAACAGGATCTTGCACTGGCTAGCATATATCATCAGCACAGTATTCCGTAGTCCACATAATCCAGCGGGATTTACTGACGAGCGTGAAATTCTCTGGCGCAGTGCCGTTCAGCCACGCTGAATAGTTCGCAATCTGCTGGTTGATGTTATCTAGGGTGTCGAGGTAGCGTGTGCGCTGCGCTAGCTCTTCGCCGCCGTTGTTTGTGATCATGAAGAGCACGAAGGAGATGAAGAGGAACGACGGGAGGACACTCCGTTGTTGGCGTGGTGTCGGCCCGTCCTGCTCACCGCCCCGCTCGGTGTCGACAGACTCAGGCGTGCCAGACATGGCTTAAATAGATATTATATACAGTACGCAGCGTTGATGTGAACGAAAGACAGGCCTGGATGGTTATGAGGATGCAACGAGGTGGCGGCTGGTGGCGGTAGCGAGTGTATATGTCAGTAAGCGTCTACCTCGACGTTCATCCAATAAGGCAGTTCCCGACGCACGCCGGGAGCCCTGAATAAATACGAAGAAACCATATGGTTTACATTGTACAGACAGCATTAGTGAATGCCATTTTCGCGGTTCTCCAATTGTCTCCTGTATTGCTGAATCATTTCCACGCTGATCATCTTAATGCCCCAGCGGTCAGCAAACGCTCTGCAATCGTCTCTGCGCATCATGGTGCCCTGCTCGTTGTCATTCACGAGCTCGCACAGAACGCCAGCGCGCGGAAGCCCTGTGAGCGCACAGAGGTCGACGCCCGACTCCGTGTGCCCCGGGCGCGTAAGCACGCCGCCAGGTCGTGCACGGAGTGGGACCATATGTCCCGGGCGAGAAAGCGAGGATGGCGTCGTGTGAGATGAAGCCAATGCGCGGGCCGTCAACGCACGGTCGTGAGCAGATATGCCCGTAGTCGTTCCTAACCCGAAGTTCAATATGCGTACCTTCCGCAGAAATAGAGACTCGGAAAAACGCACCATACTTGTAGTCCACTGTGACAGTGTAAGCCGTCCGGTGTGGATCTTCGTTCTGCTGGACCATCATGGGTATGTCGAGCTCCTGCAGCCGTTCAGAGGGCAGAGATATACAGATGTAGCCGCTACGAGAACCATTGAAGATCCTCTCTACCCCTATTAGCGGAAGAAGCGTACCTCGTATGGCGAATCATCCAGGCCATCTTCTCCGTCGAAACCTCGCTTCCAGCGATGATCAAATCTCCTTCGTTTTCGCGCCCTTCATCATCCATAACCACTAAGAACTCGCCGCGGCCGAATGCGGCGAGCGCATCCTCCATGGAGTCGAATGCAAACTTGGTGCGTTCAGACACATTCTCAACTCGCTGCGGGCGGGCAGTATTCTTTGGAGACGATGGAGGCAACGGGGCGTCCAGAACCTCCTTCAAAGCCGAGCGGGCGTGCTGCTTGAGGGGCGGAGCAGACATTGGCGCAGGGAGTGTCGGAGAGACGGCGACAGGAGCCATTTTGGGCGATTCACGGCTGAGCTAGTCTGACACCCTCAACGACGAAAGGCAAGACTACAAGTACAGTCTTGAGACGACTGGTGACACAGAGGAGGAGAGGTCCGACATCGTCTAATTACGAGACGTGAGTATTTGAGTCAGCCTGAGAGCCAAGCACTGAGGAGCTCCGGCGCGCCTGCAGCGTTCCGGTGTCGGCCCAAACGTCTACTCGAGAATGCTAACCCGGGCGTCGTCGTCTCAGAGATAGAACTACCTTGCCGTACCCCGGGCAATCGAGGCGGTCTTGTCTGCATTCTAGAGGTGAACGTTTGAATCTTAAAGGTTGCCCGGGCTTGAGAAGAACGTCATATATATAATAGAGGCTACCGCTATGACGACTCGAGGTAATTAAATGCCGTATATCTTTTCGGCTGGTGGGGCGCAAAGCAAGAATGAGTATTCAAATCCCTCTGACGTTCGCGACCTTTTAGTTGTTAGGGTTAGACGGTCTCCGAGTGTATGCGTGCTTTTGGCCGCAGCTCGTTCAAGCTTGGAGAAGTGCATCTTTTCTATTCGCCTGCGAATAGGCAAGGGAGAGATGGATCCCTAGGCCTGCACGCACACTTGTACCGTAATCCATACCCGTTGTGCAGGATGGCGGGGCGAAATATTGTATCCTAAGTTTTAGGATCCCAGTTGGTCATGAAGACGTCCAGATGTAGTGGCCATAATTGGCTGTGAGAGCGTAATCGCCCACCAGAAGGGTATACCGTTGCACTTTGGGTATAATGCGAGTTGCGCTGAGTGACGAAGTGTGCGAGGACACAGTGCAGTTGCGGATGCTATTTGAACGAAGTCCGTCGTATGGACCCACGCGCAAGCGGAGGCCTGCGGAAATATTCGCCGAGCTCTTGGCCAAGAATGGTGAAGCAACTCAAGTCTGTGCAATCCAACACTCTAAGTCGGGGAAGTACTGCTCTGCAAGCACGAGGCAGAGGACCAGAAAGAACCAATTCACTATTCCTGTACGTACCAATCACAAGATAAACCTGCCCACAGCCTCACGGCGAGATAACGACCCTATTATGCCCGTATGAGCAACACTTGGTTGGGCCGCACCGTGCAACCCCGAAATGCCGAAGAGACTCGTAACGTAGTTGTGTTGCCCTGCGGTTTTACACCATGGCATGAGGGCAATTGTCTCGCGAGGGCGGTCTTATTTCATGCTAGCAGTGCGTGTGGATAACAAACCGAGAACAGCTAGCCGTGGTATGGGACTGGAGGACGTCCAGTGCGAGTTAAATGAGGTCAGCGGCAGGAGGTCCGGAAAGTGTCGGCAAGCTCCGGAGCGCCCTGTTGGCGAACGTTCGCTTCAAAAACTTGGCCCGCTCCTCCGCCCACCAAATCCTCGCTTCACCACCCCCACCACTCGACGCCGGACTGGGTATCCAGGCGTACCTAGACTCTACATTACCACCGCATTCGTATAGATAATACAAATGGCGCATATCGCACCATCTGGGAAGTGGGACGCCAGGTAGGTCAAAACGACGCGTATCGCCATGCACGCACTAAAAGTCGACGCAGGTACCTTGGCCCCGTCCCCCATGATTCCTCTTACTACGCGAAAGCCATGCTCGGCGGTGCCCTTGCTTGTGGTTTCACCCACGCAGGTATCACTCCTCTTGATGTCACAAAATGCAATATGCAGGTGCGTCGGATTGAATGCGGTATGACGTGTTGCGTTTTCTCACTGTTTCTGTCTTTCCAGGTCAACCCTACCAAGTACAAGGGTACTTTCCAGGGTTTCAAGACCATCTCTGCTGAGGAGGGTGCCATGGGTCTCTGGAAGGGATTCGGCCCTACCTTCATCGGCTACTCTCTTCAGGGCATGTTCAAGTATGGCCTCTATGAATTCTTCAAGGATACGTACATGAATCTTGCTGGTGAGGAGGCTTCAAGCAAGTACAAGGGTGCTATCTGGCTTGCTGGCTCTGCTTCTGCCGAGTTCTTCGCCGATATTGCCCTCTGTCCTCTGGAAATGACCAAGGTCAAGATCCAGACTAGCACCCCTGGCACCTTCCCCATCCCTACCGGCGCTGCCATCGCTAAGATGCGTGAGCTCGCCGTGGAGACCCGTTTCCCCTTCGGTTCGATTGTGCCCCTCTGGTCGCGCCAGGTCAGTCACGCGTTTCTCCGACATTACGCGCGCATCACTAAATTCGCACGCGTAGATCCCATACACGATGGCCAAGTTCTTCTTCTTCGAGTACATCGTCAGCCTCTTCTACAGCCACGTCTTCACTGCGCCCAAGGACACGTACAGCAAGTCTACACAGCTCGGCGTCACCTTCGCGTCCGGTTACCTTGCTGGTGTCGTCTGCGCCGTCGTCTCGCACCCGGCGGACTCGGTCGTCTCCCAAATGGGCAAGTTGGAGAACCGCGGCAAGGGCTTCGGCCAGATCGCGTCGGAGGTCGGCCTCGTCAACCTTGCTACCAAGGGTCTCGGCACCCGTGTTATCATGATTGGTACCCTCACCGGTATGTACCTTACTGTCGATGATGATTTTATGGCGCGGCTAATGCGTGCGTGTAGGCTTCCAGTGGTGGATCTACGACTCCTTCAAAGCCTCCATGGGTATGGGTACCACTGGTGGCAAGTAAACGCTCCCAAAGCGACCGCTGATTTATTGTCACGTTGTATCGCTTTCGCTATCGTATCCGGTGCCCATCCGTTCTATGTAATAGACTATACGGACATACCCTTTGCCGAACATTGTGTGCGATGATAGTCTGCTCCAAGAGCTACTAAGTCTGCCGGGGCTTGTTTTGACACAGTGCTATGAACGGCGCCACGGATTTCTTCATGATCAGGTGAAGTCATGGCTTTTCGAAGGGGGCCTGACAGAAATCGAGGCTATAAAGCTTCTTAAAACGGCAGGTTCAGGTTCAGACATATGTTGAATCATCTGAATGGGTCGATCCAGCGTCTCGTGTGTGCGACGTCGTCCGGACTCTGGATGTTACATGTGAGACGGTGCGATGCGAGTCTGTCATACGTGTGTCGAGGCCTGGGCAAGGCTCACATGGCTCATCAGCCGCCCTACATCTCGCAAACGGAATATTTGGACTGCAAAAATACTTTCTGGGATACATTGGGAAGCGATATTTGCTACCCACCACCTGCGCTCGAGCCACCTCGGAGGCAGAGGAATGTGACACAGGGCACGTGAGCTGCAGTAACGCCTGATCTTGTCACGCGTCAGCGACGGCCGCAACTCTGCAGGATAGATCTGCTCATACATTCACGATCCATCGTCCTCGCAAGCCTCGGATCTGGACAAAGTACGTCGGCCTCAGTCAAGAAGTCCCTGACTAGCAGCGTCTTCTGTGTCGCTATCTCCTGTGCAAAGACACCGGCCGTCATTCGTGAAGAATATCTTGCAAAGCACCCACCTAGCTTTGAAGATCATGGTTCACGATTCACGATAGACCGACACCCTTTTACTTGTAGACCTCTTAGTGACTTCTATCCCATCCTCAGAGCCTTTATATGACGGCATTCATGATACGAGCGTCCCGCCGAGTCCTTCTCCTTCCCAGAAATCAGCACGCAAAGTCGAGACTTTCCACTTCGTATTGGCGGAAACTGTTGCCTAGTTCTCCAGCTCCTCCCACAACGGTGATCGTTGGCCTCTCGGTAACGACAGTTACTTTGGTCCATTGACCAACAACGGTGCGACGCTCGGGATGCAAAGCGGCCTTTGACTAGCAGCACACGCTCAAAGCGTTATTCGGTCCACGCATTTCAGGCACTGTGCGCCTTAGGGGCAATAAGCAAGGATCTGGTCGACTCTCAATTTCTCTGAAATACACACAGGTTTGGAAGCTAACGATGGCACAGCCATGTCTCCCACTTGTCTCGCAGGCTGCGCCTTCTCGGTCTCACGGTCTCCAGACTCGATTAAATGTTCGGAAGTATGCGTCGCCCGCGTCGCCTGATCAACAAATCAAAACTTCAGTACGCCTGGAACCGATGATCGGACCCTTGTCTGGTGGCGGTGGCGGACCAAGACCGTGTGAACGCGTACACGCCGTGTTGCGCGTCCGTGGCAGACCGCATCTCTCCTTTGTAAGTAGAATACTGGTTCGTGATCCACGTCCTTTTACTCCCGTTGCGCGCTAGGCGTTACTCATTCAAGAAGGTTCCTCCTTGGGTCTCCAGACATGTCTAACCAATAATATGGCGCATCAAGACATAGGACGATAAAAATCAGAATGTCTTCTGGAATGTGCCGAGTGATGCACATCTTCACTTGTTCCGCCGCGACTGGGAGCTATACTGGGCCATCGATGGACTGCGGCGCGCACGGTTGAACGCATGTTCCAGGCTACTCATTACTGTCGACGTGGCATAAAACACCGTGTCGTGCAGTCTAAGACGTTCGAGGGTCATTCCAGGTTCCATTGATAGAGTGATAAAGGTGCTTTGTCTTACCTCGTCCTCCGTCCGCGCAATTCCTGCTGACGAGAGATTTTCTCAGGCATTCTTGGTTGGAGATTCATAGAAGCAACGTCTTTCTTTGTAAATCTTTTTGGCTTGCCGGCATGTCGATAGCGTCGCCATGTCGGAATAGCCGACGCAGCTACGAACGTGAAAGTGGAAGTCGAGCCCCTCCCTTTCAGATGAAAATTTATCTTTGCGGACGACGCGCCCGTCCTGACAACCAATCACCCCGCCCGAACGGCGCTTTTGCAACCGTTGCCTGATGGCGGGTACCTTCCACGTCGCTACACCTTGACGTTATGGCCCTGTACCTGTTGCAGAGCGGCGGCGTCGCATTCCGACCCTCGATCCTTAAGTTGCTTACGGAAAAGTGTCCAGCATAATACCGGGATTATTGGATCTCCGGGCAGTCCAGTCTTTCGGTTGAATGATCACAATGCAAGAATGTGATCGCTTTGTCTCTCTTGATCATGGGCTATGTGAGGCTCGAAGCCATCCGAAAGATATAAGTACAGGTCCCTGGCTCTGAAATACTCGTCGAACCCGACCTTCCCCCCATTTTAATCTACTCCCCTATACAATGTGTGTCGGCGAGAATAACGCGCCCCAGGCCCAGCACTACCTCAACGCACAGCTTGGTGCCCTCTACGAAAACGCTGTCGGATGTGTTGAACGACACGGAAAGGGCTTGCAGCCCGATGCCGACCATAGTGCGTCTAGCGCGCTGTATCTTCCCTGACCTCCTCCTAACGCGTCGCAGAATACTCTTTCGCGCCTGCCGAGTTCTATTATGGCAAGCACCGCCGAGGCCAGGCCTCAAAGGCCGACATGATGTTTTACACCTCGTTCGGCAAACCAAAACTCGAATTCATCTGTAATCACGACGTGATTATCCGCCTCACCCTCAAGGAGGGCCATTACAATACCGAGTTCTCAAAAGGCAACGCGAACCCTGCCATCATGTACGTGGATCGTTACTATTTCCCTATTTTGCTTGGCTTATGTTCCCTACAGCGAAAAGAACAAGTCCTTCAAAGAAGCCGAGATCGCCTTTCGCGTGCCATTCACTGTCGAAGCTTTCCCTGGCCAGGCCGTTGGCCTCGCTGGCAGCGACAATGTCATATCTCTCGTTATCCTGAACTTTCCTAGTACGTCATTGACGCGTTTTTGGCCATGTAATCAATCTTAACCCCCATTACAGAGGCCCAGCTCGTTCAGATCAACTCCGAGCTTGAAGTCGGTCGACAGGCTCTCGCGTTCTACCTGAGCGAGTACCTCTTAGTCCTCCAGAGCGCGGGCAACCACGTCCTCTTCTCCCTCCCCGACTTCGACGACGACCGTCGCCGCCTCTTCATCGACTTCTCGACATACGCACGCAGCCTGCTCGACGTCGACGAGATTTACGACATCTCGGTCGAGAAGATCAACACCTTCCTGTCGTCGTCGTGGCTGAAAGCGGCTATGCTTGCAGGTGGCAAGAACGGCCCCTCCGCCGACCACGCCGCGCTCTCCCTCGCTGAGTACCAGAGCAACTGGTCCCTCGACGAGAGCAGCAACACCCACTTCCACATCAAACTTGGTTCGCCTCGCATCAAAGCCCTGTGCAACCAGGAGGTCGTCCTCTACTTCGTCATCGACGAGGTTCTATTCTACGACTCCAAGGACTTCAGCGTGTACGTGTTCGTCTCAAACTCATACTCTCAGCGTGCCCTAACTACTCGTACTACAGTGCTGCTAAGCAGACCTACCAGAACTGGGAACTTGCCCTCCTCATCAACGTCGTCTACGAGAAAGAGGAAGAAGGCAAGGTCACTCGCTGCAAGCTTGACTTCAATTGTGCGTGTTTCTCAACCATAAGCTTTCGCGGATTATCAACCAATTCTTTTAGCTTGCCGCTTCATGCGCCAGCTCTGCCAGTGGGCCGACTTCGACCAGACCAACGAGGACGCGCTCCGCTATGTCCAGAAGCTCGTCGACTTCTTCACCGGCGAGTACCTAGATGTCCTTGAGCAAGCGCACTACAACGTCGTCTACCACTACGACGAGCGCTGGCCACCTCTCTCCGGCGTCCCAGAAGCTGAGCACGAGGAGATTGAGGCCGAGGATGCCGAACTCATCGACGAGGAGAGCGACTCCGAGGATGAAGAGGAGGTTGTCAAGGGCGACGTCTCCACCTATCGGGAGCTTGGCGCGGGCGGCGCGACCATTGTCGAGGGCGTCGCTGCCTCTGCCGCCGCAGGCGCTGCTGCTGGTGTGGCGATCATCGAGGGCTCTGACGCGGCTGCCTCCGCTGCAGGTGCGGAGGCCGGCAAGGCCGCCCGTCGCGCGCTCACAGCCAAGGCCGGGCCCGTGACCCCTCGCGTGATCAGGCAGGGCACCGTCTCGCGCACGCCCGAGGGCAAGACGATCCTGACGAAGCACAACGGCACAGTGGTCGAATACGTCTCGAAGGCGGCCGCGGTGAAGGAGCTCATCGAGAAGACGCACACGCACGGCTTCGACCACGTCTCGGCTGTATCGCAGGCGTCGATCAACGCGTGGTTCAAGAGCCTCTGGTCCGTGGCGAGCACGAGCAAGAGCACCGTCGACTCTCTCCTCTCGCGCTTCGCGTATGAGCAGTACTTCTCCACCAAATTCCAGGCGCCAACCCTCCGCCTGCTGAGCAACAACCGCGCGATCATCTGGCTCCACCTACAGGACGGTTGGCTCAAGACGCTCAAGAACTGGCAGCCCTGGAACGAGAGCGAGGCGTACAAGTTCGACAACTGGCGCCTCGCGTTCGAGGTCGAGCTCAAGCTCGCCGACAGCGACAAGCTCCAGGGTGTCTCTACTGCTTGGAACGCAAAGCTCGAGGACTCCTTCGCCTACAAGCAACACGGCAAGAAGGACGACCGTGTACTCAAGCACATCTACCTCGACTTCAAGAGTAAATTTTACTTCTTTGCTTATGGCTTGCATTGGTACTGACGTTGGTGTCGCAGCTGCCGAGTTCATCCACGACCTCTCTAGCTTCGACGGTCTCTTCCACAGCCACGAGAAGCGCCCCATCGAGAAGGTCCAGGCTCTCGTCACCTACCTGCGCGAATACTACTTCTCGCAGATCATCGCCACCGGCACTCATGTGCTCTACACGCTCCCAGTCTTCAAGGCCGGCGCGTCGCTGCCTTCGGCAAACGCGCTCACGGACTTGACATTCCAGATCTACTCCAAGATCGCGTACGACCGCCGCAACTGGGCTGCGATGGCCAAGGAGGGCGAGCCGGCGCTGCTCATCCTCGGCATGACGCAGTTCCGTGCGCTGCCGGCGGCGAAGATCGAGTGGTCCGGGAGCTGGATCGCGAACAGCACACGGAGCGTGTCGTACGGCACGGTGTGCCTGAGCAAGCAGATATTCCTGCAGGAGCGCCTGCTCGGCCTGCTCGCGAAGGTGAACGGCGAGACGACGGTCTCGAGCCAGCCGTTCCGCCTCGAGTGCAAGGGCGCGTGGAAGCTGCAGCTGACGACGTGGGCCGCGAATGAGGACCGCAAGAAGTGCGTCTGCACATGGAAGTTCGACGGCGAGGCCGACGGCATGCTCAAGTACAAGTGGATCCACCGCGACGGCTGGAAGTACGAGCATGAGGGCACGACCGACATCACCAATGGCACCTACTGGGTCGACTGTGCGTCCTCTTTTTTCTCTGCTCGCGATACTGCGAGATGGACTGACAGGGCCCTGCAGGCCATACCGTGAACTACCTCGAAATCCCGACCACCTTCACGAACGGCCAGCTTGAGATCAAGCTCCGCGGCGACGTCAAGGTCAGCCTCGGCGTCGACGGCGGCGCTCAAAAGTGGAGGTGCGTGATCGTAGTCCTTCTGCTTTTCCTCACTTCCCCATCTCACCCATGTCTAGCACCAAGTCCGGCGCGAGCTGGCGCACCTCGATCTGCATTGGCACGAGCGAGGACGGGCTGAAGGTGAGCGTGCCGGCGCCGCCGGTGCCGGTGTACTTGCCGGCGTCGACGATAGGCGAGGCGCTGCCCGCGTTCTGGAACGACCCCGAGGCGCTCCTGCGCGCGCACCTCCCGCAGACGGTCGACCTCGGCGACGTGCTCGGCCTCTTCCGCACCTTCGAGGGGACCTACACCGGCCTCTTCCCCGGCACATCCGCCTTCACGCTCGCGAACCCCGCGTTCAACAAGGACGGCGACGTCCTCTTCGAGCTCGTCCCGCACACGCAGCTCAGCGCATCCGCGCCCCTCGTCAGCAAGGCCGCCGCGCGCGCGGCGGGCACCGCAGCGGCGCGCGACCACCGCACGTATGCGTCCTCGGTGCGTCCGCGCGGCGAGCATCGCAGCCTGTCCCGTACGTGTGCCCTGCTGCTGCCGCCCTTGTTTCTCTGTGCGTTGCTCACTCTGCTTGCGTTCGCAGTCCTCCAGCGCGTGAAGAACAAGCTCACGGGCGACCATGACGACGAGAAGCACCGCCACGCGGACGGCAAGCCTGCGAACGGCAGCGCGTCCCCCGCAGCACCGAGCCCCGTGACTCCCGCTGTCGAGAGCCCCGCAGCGTCGCCGCCCACCCCGCCCGCGGCGAAAGGGGGCAGAAAGGATGCGAAGCCTGAGAAGGCTTGAGCTACTTGTTGGCACGGCCCTCGTGCTCGCCGCGCCGCAGGTCATGTTCTGGTGTTTAATTGTGGTGTTAATATTGTACGCATGTATGTGCAGACGGATGTAAACTCTTCCTACTCTATGGTCCCTTTTCCAATGTCGATATGTCTCATGCAGCCTGTGCTCAAGTGATGTCTGCATTGGCGACGGTGATGGCCTATTTAGCTGCGCAGAGGGGAGGGCAGCAACCGAGATACATTACAGGCTGGCGTCGCGGGGGGCACCCGCCCTTCGGAGTCAGTTGCTGAGCGGCTTGCGCGCTGCACGTATACGCCCGCACGGGGCATCGCAGCGTATCCTGTACGTATATCCTACTGCTCTCTTTCTGGGCCCCGCTGCTACGAAGCCCAGCGGAATATCTAGTCCCGATGGTACGTTGCCAACCTCGTCTCTGCCTCGTCCTGGACAACAGAGCGGGTGAGGTCGTCGAGAACTACAATTGATCGCCATAAAAGGCGCCCTTGGCTGGTATCCCCTGTCAGAAACAGAGATGACATCGACGCGCGGCCACGACTGGGATCATACTGAAAAGCTGAAAGAAGCTCTGCGAGCTTCTGATAGCTCGGGCGCGGTGGAACTTGCAGCGACAGAGGACATCCGATGAGATACATCGAGATGCGTGTTGCTATCGTGTCCTAGCGAGAGATGATAATACAATCAAGAAGCACCTAGGTAGCTAAGCTTCTCGGGCGAAGGCGAGCTCTACATCGTCCTAGCCTCCCCGCAACCACATCTCAACTCAAGCATAGTTCGCAAACCCGATCTCTGCAGGTCACCATCAGCCTCCGCCTCGCATAGCACACAAAGACAACCGGTACTCACTCGTATTGCCGACATCGTATATGGAGTAGAAGAACTGGAGCCACGCCTGGCCTAGGATTGCATCCGCCTGGTAGCCGGCACTCGAGAACCACGTGTAGTGCCGGCCGTCGTCCGTGATGTTGAGCGCGGCGTACGCGTTGGGCGGGATGACGTACTGCTCAGACGTGAGCGTGAAGTTCTGGCCGCCCATCGAGTAGTGGATCGTGGAGGACACGGTGCGCTCACAAGTTCAGACTCAACCCAATATCTCCACTGTCCGTGTAAGCAAACACGAAATCGTCGCTGGAGATCTGGCTGTCACCGAAGTATATGCCGTCCATCTGACGGGGACCAGTAGGTCAGAATCATATCCATCTTCGACAGACGAGCAGTGAGAGGGAACACCCACGTTGAAGGACCAAGCGAACAGACCGAACTCATTGGTGACGTCCAGCCAGGTAATCTCGCCCTCTACCTTGCTCGCGTCGTACCCACCAAACAGGATTTCGCCCTCGCCCACCTGCTGCCCGGCCGCAACATCCAGCGCCGGGACGACCATGCTCCATAGCGCCTGCCCGATGACACCCTCCTCGACAAGACTGTCCAGAAACGTGTTCGTAGGTTCGCTGATGCCGCTGATCGTGTGTGCATTCGAGCCGTTGAACGACAGGCCGACTGCGCGCAGCCCGGTCAAACAGTGATCACAAACAGACACCAGAAATTACACGTACTGAAGCCGTCTAGAGGATAGAGGTCGGCAGGGAGCGACGTCTGGTTCGCAGCGCCGATGTGCTGATTCGTCACTGTCGCAGAGCCGATGGTCACAGTGTCTAGATACACCAGGCCGGTCGCACCGCCCTCGTCGTAACCAACACTATAGGTCTCACCGGTGCTGCGGGACACGGCGATGAGTGCAGAGTGGGAGACAGAGGTCTTGCTGGCTCACGCTTTCGAGTTCGGACCCGGGATATACGGGCTCGACGCGCCAACCCACAGCGAGGAGCTTCCCGTGTCGACGAGCACGTTGCCGAATGTCTAGTCGTTCCCAGTCGTGACTGCGGTGGACA